CAAAAGCATACTGCACTCAAGTGATGGATACCCTGAATACTGATTTGATCCCTATGCATTATATACATGTGACAAAATTTATCACGCACCCCATAAATCTGCATGAAAATAAAATAAAAAAATGTTTAAAATTGTACAAAAATTTAATATAGTACCATCACAAATTTCATATGTCTTAATTTAGGGGTATGTGTCAGTTGGCCATCAAACCCAAGTACGAGGCCAGTCTCCTGCCACTAAATAGAGATGTTACTTTTTTGCTCAAGACATAATAACTGTCTAAGTCTCATCTTTCTCAAAGATAAATAAATGAGAGGTTTGGACCATATGATTCATAAGGGCCCCTCTATTTCTAAAATTCTATTATTCTAAATTCTCAAAATGGATTTCTGTGTTTTTCTTGAATGATTTTTTTCCCCCTTGTCCTAGTCGATTCTTGGACAATTTTGTCTTCTGTAATTATCTTTTTTTAAAATATATATATATTCTTTAAATTTCTCTGACTGCAATCTAATCTGAAATTTGAATTTGTAGTATTTAAATAATATTCAAATCAAGTATATTAGGTTTCTGTGCTATATCATTGTTTTGAATGTGTTTCCTTAGTAAGCTAATTATGAAAAATTATACAATTAAAACATTTGCTGATATAATTTGGGTCTAAATCTATTCATTTGAATGTTTACTAAAATGAGAACTGAATGACAGAAAGTAGACAATTGTAATCTGTGATGGAAGAAACATGATGTAACTTAGGTAACTATTCTGTCAGGTTTTTTTCAATTTCATAATTGTTAGCTATTTTAAAAAACACTTAATAAAACACTTAATATGAGGCAGATTCTTACCAGAACATTAATTAGAAGTACATTAGCTTATAGCCATATAAATTACTTTAGTGAAAGAAAACAAAAGATTATGATAATCTGTAGATTGGTTGACCACATTATTATCTTTTTCTACAATAGATATAAACATTTAGATACATAGCAGATTGTAAATACCTATAATAGCAACAACTTTAATGTACTTATACCATTTTATATAAAGGACTTGACCATGTGCAGATTTTGGTGTCCACAGAGGGTCCTTGAACAAATCTCTTATGATTCTGAGGGATGACTGTATTTATGAGTTATGAAATATACCACTATGACCTCTGTCACTACTTTAGGTTTCTGCACCATTCATTGCTGCTTTTTTTTCCACTTCTTTCATCTTCCCTCTTCTCTCATCCCCTTTCTTCCTTCATTCTTTCATTCCAACTCTTTAATTCTTTTTGCTTAGCTATGATAATTCTAATGAAAACTTATTTTTTTCCAGATCTGATTTGGCCTAGGGTAATACAAATATAGGTACTATATATTTTTTGAAGGGGTGTTGGAGTTAATTTCATAATGAGGTTTAGTTTCTGCTGCAAAAAATCATTATTACACTTAGTGTTAAATTGTGCTCTTTTGGTCAGTGGAATTTCTGCTAAGAGTCTTTATACTAAAATTCCTTTATATGGAATCCTTGGATAGATTTTGTTTTGTTTTATTTGCTGGGGAATGGAATTATAGCATCTAGAATATATTGAAAGGGTCTATCACTGGAAAAGTTTAAGAAGCAGTATAATTTAGACAAAGCATTCTACCTAACGCAGACTCTCTTGCATCTCTCAAGTGTTGATCCTTTTCTTTATTTAAACCACATACTTTGTCACCTCTCCCTTAGGATTCTTCTGATCTTGATTCTAGGTCTTTTATCCATGTTCTCAGAAATCCTCTTTCCTAAGCTTCACAAGCCTGGTCTTTCATTTATTTGAAGATTGCCTATATAAAATATGCTTTTTAATATTTATGTGTGAAATTAAATTATTTTTATACCATCCAATACTCTTCTGGTGAGAAGCATTCTCAATACAAGCAGTGAACATTACAGTCACATGATACAAGGAAAACAGTTGTAGAGTCAGGAACATTTGTATAGTTTAGAATCAGGACATAATGTTACATGGCTGAGTTCAATATAGCAGAAAGCAGAGGAGTAATTTAAAGATAATTCAAAGAATTAATTATCAAAAGAAGTACATCCAGGCAAGTTCCAAGGTCAGAAACTTCAATCTTACCAAAATAAATTCTGTCAATTGGCCAGCATGTATTTATTGCTCAGGTTTTTGTTATGCAGAAGGATACATGGAAAATATTAGAGAAAACAGCTCCTGACATTTTGGAATTTACAATCTAGCTAAAAAGAGCAAAATAACATGAATGAAAAAATGAGGAACTATAGAAAGACTGAGTATCATCAAATTACAAATTCTGTGGCCCAAGACTATCAATGCCTTAATAGTTCAGTATAAATTTATATAACATGGTATTTATTCAATTCTCTCTTTTTTTTTTTTTTTTTTAAACAGAGTCTCACTCTTTTGCCTGGGCTAGAGTGAGTGCCGTGGCATCAGCCTAGCTCACAGCAACCTCAAACTCC